GTAGCTCGAGCGCATGCAGCACGATGAGTGCGGCCCGGGTCGCCGACGTTGACGACGCACAGCACCTGCGTCGCGGCAATGATGACATCGAGCTGCGCGTCACTTGGGTCGCTTGAGCGCAAGGCACTGAAAGTTGGGTTGTGCACGATGGGGAGCTGAAGCAATGCAAAAATCTGCCGCAGCAGCGTCGCGTCGTCGACGAGATCGAGCGCGACGCTCGCATCGTTGCGTGCGAGGTCCCAGAGGAAGCGCAGAACCGGCACCAAGTGCGTGCGGCTGTGCGGCGTGAGGCAGTGCACGAGTGCGCTTGTTAGCGCCATGTCTAGAAACGTCTGCTTGTAGAGCGGTGCGACGCGAAAGAGCTGCGCAATCAAGTCGAGCAGCAGCGGCAATGCACGTGGTGTGACCGTGTCGATCACATCGACGCACCGCTGCAGCATCGGTGGTGCTACGAAAAGTCCGCTTCCAGGATGCCTCGCGTGCAGCCAGTGCAATAGTTGAACGAGAAACGTCGAGATGCACTTGCCATCAGTCATCATCGTCGTCTCGCATGTCGTCCAGAGGTGCAAGACGGTGAGGAATACTTCGTGAACGAGGCGAACGCCGACGTGGCGTGACAGCGGCGCGTCAACGCCAAACGGCATGCCCTGCTCGAGGCACTGCATTCGATGCGCCAACTCTTTCTGGTCGCAAACCAGAGGCGGCCGGCCGTCCAAGCCGTCGAGCGCGTCGGTGAGACAGTCACAAGCGACCGTATGCTGTTCGAGAAAGTGCATTTCGAGGGTGAACGCCGTGTTGGTCAGCAACATGGCAGCCATACTCGCATAGACGGCCCGGTACTTCATGCTTTTGTCCATCGCGAGCTGTTGGCCAAGGAAGAAGAAGACGGGCTTTGCATCGTTGGCGACGTCGTCTGGCGACAAGAAGACACCGTGTCCAAACACAAGCTGTCGAAAGACGCTTGGGACACAAAGCAGCCGCTGGTAGATGTGAACAATGTTGGCGCGGACTGCAGGGTTTGGTTCGCTGTCCACTGGCGTTGTCGTGACGACCGAGACGAAGCGTTGCAATGCGGGCGCGTGGCGCACGGCCTCGTTTCGCCCGAGCGAGGCTAGTGTCCTTGTAATGTCCACCTAGGATTTCCCCTTTATCAGTGGCTGCATGCAAAGGCCAGCAACGTACGCGCAGCTGCGAGAAGAGATCGTTCGATGTCGGCGCCCTACCCATGAACATATGTCTCGACAACGAACGACAACAGGACCCATTTGTGTCTACCCGAGAAACCGATTCTCGCCAATGTCCAGAAAGAGCTGCACAAGGACGTCGAGGGCGGCGTCAGTCGTTGCGTACGACCCTTCCTTGACCAAGAGCAGCGCCACGAGTGCTTCGTCGTGCTCCGATGCCGACGAAGCGATCGACGCCAGAAGCCGGGCAGCTCCCGCACACTGCTGCAGCAACACACCGCGCGTAATGTACCCCGTGGCCCACGCATCGCGCAAGGCGAGGGACCGGAGCACGCGCTCGAGGTATGCTTTGTAGCGACTGCCCGCGGTCTGAAAAACACCGTTGAGAAAGTACGTTGCGAACGTCGGTGCTTCCAAGAGCCGTCCGAGCACCGAGAGCGCGGCAGCGTGCAGCGCAAACGATGCCTCTTGGCACACGGCAAAGACTGCGGTGAGCGCTGTATAGGATCCGGACGGGTGGCTCAGAAACGGCGCCAACATCGCATTGGGGTCTCCGTCGCGTTGCAAAACGCTTTCCAGTAGCTCCAGTGCCTAGTATACGTACATGAGAGAGGTGGCATATCCTCTCCCTTTGAGGAAACTACCTTGTGCAGCGAGGGCTCCTGCATCGCTTCCGCATTCGCGACCATACTGACGAGTGCCTGGACCACGTTCAGGTCGCTCAAAACCTCGAGACGCAACTTGGCGTCGGCGGCAATCGCAACTTGGAGCGCCGACAGGACGTTCGAGGTCAGCGTCGGGCTCGCGACAACCGAGCTCTGTGTCAGTGTACGGACCAAGCCTACAACGACTGATACGTCATCATCGACACGAGAGATGCCTACCGTGCACGATCGGGCTCGTCAGGCAGTATGGCTGCCACGGTGACGCCGCCTCGAAACCTGCCGTGAGCGCCAGTGAGAGCGTGACGGCCAGCGCTGTTGCGTCGCGAACGCACGCGTCGTGCAGCAAGAGGGGCAACGCAGTCACGGTCTCGAGTAAAAGGTTGAGGAGGAGCAATGGTACGTTTGGGAGGTCGCAGGCGTCGAG